TTTTTTTTTTAATTTCTTTATTTTCTTTATTTTATTTAAAATTAGAGGAGATTATGTTGTGTTGTGTTGTGTGCTTAATCTTTGGTGTAAGCTGAAATTTTCGTAAGAGAATTTGAAGGAATTGAACTTTTCTATTGGATTATATTTGGGGGAATTACAGTGTTTATCCATTGTAATGTCCACTTTGAATGAATGTTGTGGAATTTGTTCACATAATTTTGCTGACGACCGAACTTGGTATCGAATCAAATAAAATTGTGCGAGCAACTTTTTAAGATTGATGATTAGAAATAGATATGTGGCCAAAATCTGTTTCGGGCTCGGTTTCGGGCCAAGGTTTGATTGTTCTAAACCGGTCCGAACATATGCATGAGTCGGTTGGATGAAAAAATAAAAATGGTCCAACCTTCGGTTAACTAAATTTTTTCTTTTTGAAAAAAGGTCCACCTGCCGTTTTCAATTCAGAACCGGCCTAGCGGTTCAAAAGGTATATATATGTGGTCTGAAACCAAGGGCTTGGTTCAAAGCCCGTTGACCACAGGCCGGTTCGGGCCGAAACCTGCCTATGGTCAACAGGCATTGAACCGAGTTCGTGGTTTGACTAGGTCGGATCGACCCTATCCGCATATTTGTAATTTTTTGAACCGTTTGGCCGATTTCGAACCAGAACCAGTGATTCGACCTTTTTTTGCTTTTCTTTTTTTTTTTTCAATGAACCGAAGCGTCCTGGAACCAATAGTTCATCGAACCAGCCCGTATATATTTCCTGGCCGATTCAGGGCCTTCAAAAACCCGGCCCGAAACGGGCATTTTGCCATGTCTATTAATGATAAATTTAGTGGGTAGGGAAAGCTAGGATGGCTTAGATTTTTGTATTTCTTCTTAGTAACGTTACATTTTACTAAAACTGTTAAAGACCAATTCAATATAGTAGAACTTCTATTGATCCTTGACTTCAGTGACGTGAATAGAGTTGCAAACGAATTGAACAGCTCGAGTAATGTTTGTCTCGAGCTCGAGTTTGAAGCAGCTCAAATCAAACTTGAGCATTTTGAGTTCAAACTCAAGCTCGAGCCGAGGCATTTAGTTTGTACGTTCAACGTACCACTCCAATGTACCTAAAATTACATAAATACAACTCAATAGGTAATTTTTTAAATGAAATTTTCAAGCAAATCTGGAGCGTTGGTTTTTGTTTGTCAAGAAAGTCGAGCCTCGGACAAGACAGGCTCCACGAGCTAGAGCAAGTGTTAGAAAAATTGAACACGACACAATAAGGCTAATGATAGTGTTCATATTTGTTTGGAAGAGTATATCGACCAGAACATAGTGGGACATAGCAAGTTCTTGATATTAGGTATCTCAATTCAACACTTGCTTGGTGCAATTTGTGCCCCATTTTGATCTGATATGGTCTTTTCTAGTCTTTTTTAGAGCCGATACTAATGCCGCGATCCACATTCAGAATGTTCTGCAAATTTATGAGAAAGCGTCAGGACAAGTAATTAATTTTGATAAATCATCCCTCTCTTTCAGCCCGAACACTGTCCCGGAGGTGGTTTCCAGTGTTAAAAATGTATTCAAAATGACAGTGGTTCAAGGACATGAAGTATATCTAGGCCTTCCCACTTTCTCAGCAAGAAGCAAGCGTACTCAATTCGGTTATCTTAAAGAGAAAGTTGCTGATAGAATTCAAGGCTGGAGTCACAAATATTTTTCGGAGGGAGGCAGAGAAGTTATTCTTAAATCGGTTGTCCAGGCTATCCCAACATATGCTATGTCATGCTTCCGTATTCCGTTGTCTTTGTGTGAAGAAATTGAACGTGATTGTGCAAATTTCTGATGGGGAATGGAAGGAGGATCAAAGAAACTGCATTGGTGTTCCTTTGGGAAGTAAACCTTCTTTCATTTGGCGTTCTATGGTTTGAAGTAGGGACATCATTACCAAAGCATCTGTATGGAAGATCGGTAGAGGCAATAAAATTGATATATTTCGAGATGTTTGGCTCCCCTCTCGACGCAAATGTTTTTCGTTTGTGCACCATTCCCATCAGTTTGCAAGGTTGAAGACCTTCTTTTGGAAGGTAACTGGAATGAAAGTCTTGTCTCTTCTTTATTCCCTCACTTTATTGCTAAGGAAATTCTCCAAATTCCACTGCCAAAATCTGATAAAGAGGATGAGCGATATTGGTGTTTTGATGACAAAGGAAAGTACTCGGTTCGAGAGGGATACAAGGTTGAAATGGGTTTTTACAACTCTCCAGTTAATCAATCCGAGGTACGCATGAGAAAATGGTGGAGATTTCTTTGGTCGCTAAAAATTCCGCAAAAAATTAAAACTTTTTGGTGGCGATTTGCAAATGATTTTATCCCATCAGCTCAGAATTTAGCAGATCACCATGTTCCAGTTATACTCAGTTGTAAGTTGTGTAATTCATATTGTGATTCTTCCACTCACTCGATATTTTTCTGCCCCCGTGTTCTGCCACTGTGGAAAAATTGCGATTTTTACCATATCCTTAAATCGGCGAAGTTCGGCTCAACGTTGGATGTATGTATCTGGATGCAAACGAACATGTCTACGAGAGAATTTGAAGTTTTTGCAGTGCGTTCTTGGCTCGTTTGGAAAGAAAGACAAAGAGTGATACACCACCCTAATCCAAAAGAATGCATTCAACCCGTTGAAGATGCCGAGAGTTTAATTCAAAATTTCCAAATATCTTGATGTGATAGCCGAAAGCCTAAGTTGCCCCAAGATCAGGAGAATAACTTCAGCTCGAAGCCTCCACCACTACACTCAGTCCGACTTGACGTGGATGCTTGTGTTAACATGAAAGCAGGTAGATTTGGTATCGGTGGAATCACTAGGGATGATCAAGGAAATCCGCTTTTCGCCTTTGGTAAGCCAGTCAGTAATCCCGGCTCAGTTATTAATTGTGAGCTTTTAGCTATCAAACAGGGTTTGGCACATTGTGATGAGCTGAAGCAAACCCCTGTTCAGATCTTCTCGGACTCATTGTTGGCGGTACAAGCAGTTGCCGACACCAATGAGTATAGTGGCTACACTCGTTCATGGGCTAATAATATCCGCGTTGCATTGTCTGAAGCATCAGCAACAACAAGACAACTCTATCATATGCGCCGATCGGCAAATACTGTTGCTCATGCCATTGCGTCTTTTGCTTCTTTTTCAAGTTCCCCTTTCTTATGGAAGGTGGATGCTTTTCCTTCTTGGCTTAAGGATCTTGTATGTAATGATACTCTTTTGAGCACTTAATATAAGTTCCTTGTCCAGTCAAAAAAAAAAAAAAGTTTGCAAGTTGCAAGCTATTGCATCAAGTTGAGTGGGAACAAAAAGAGAACCATCAAAATTTGACTCCAAATTCCAAATGCACGACGTTGTACATCAAAGTATTCCATAGATAAATATAATGGTCAGTATGTTTACATAATACTAAACCGAGCAAATCACGATAGTAAATGGTTTTCCTAGTTATAAGACTTAAACTCCCCACACTTTCACACTTTCACACTTTCACGAGCCACTCTACATATAGGTGCCTTAGTATATACACTGAGTTTCATGCCTTTGAAGAAGGCTGCATAATTGTGTAATATCCATATTTTTTAAACTACCTACTTCATAATTCTCGTGTCCACAAACCTGAGTTTTTTTTTTTTTTTTTTCCTTCAAGTAATTATACACAACAACTCACGCCCGAACGAAACCATCAACGACCTGCCACACAAATCATTCACAAATATTATAACTTTTATGTAACTTATATAAGACAAAAAGAAAGTATCCAAACAGAAACTGGATGTGCAGCCTCAACAACATCAACAACAGAATCCCATTTTTCGTGAAAATGTCTGTTTTATTGTGAACAAGCAAGTTCAAGATATTCAATCCTTGAAAATTATAGCACCGAACTATTGGCCATGTTTGGTAAATGGCTTTTTGAATAGCTTTTAGCTGTTTAATCAATATCAGATGTTTGACCATCTCAAACCGTCAAATTTGTTGTTTGGTAAAACAACTTTTTTAAATAGCTGTTTGAATGAAACAGCTAAAATAAAAAACGCTGCAATGAGCAGCGTTTGAGGTTAGCGGTTGTGCATGGGAAGAAGAAAGGCCCATTTGATGGGTATTGTTGTTGGATTGTTGTTCTTCTCATTTTCTATTTATTAATTAATATTTCAACTTGTATTATTAAATACACGGTATTAATGAGGAGTTGTTGTGCTAGTTGTTGTGCTTCTCACTTTTTATTTATCTCCTCTTGAAATTTCCTAAACAAAATATGAATAAATATATAGTGATGTATACCACAAAATTTTATTTGAGATATTAAAATTATTGTTATTGTGACATAAAGAAAAAATTAAATTGTATGAATGTTCTTATAATTTAATTTTAAATGTAATTAGTAAATATCAAACAGCTGATTTTACCAAACACTATTTTATAATCCGCTAATAGAATCCGCTGGTCAAAACAGCTGATACAATCCGCTGGTCAAAACAGTTGATACAATCCGCTAACCGCTGATTGCCAAACAAGACCAATGTCTTTTATAGATATCATCTCAGTTTTACCGTTTCCACTTCACAAGAAACTATGCTCAGATTGCCCAAAATGTTAAAAACATCAATATTTTTCAACTATTAAGGTATCAAAATGACCACTTTCTATTTCTATTTTCAAAACAGATACTAACACATAACAAACACCACAAGTCCGCATAGACAACAATAATTTCAAAAAGATAACTGATTTTTTTAGATTAAACCATACTGACTATCTTATGTAATTTAAGTGTTCCAGTGAAAACGAGCGACAAAACAGACTGAAATGTATTCGTATAAACAAAAGAACATTCAATTTGTCATTCGAAATCTATGGATTAGTTCCTTACCGTGAACAACACCAAGTCCTGGGGAGGCGTATGAAGGGTTATCATCAACCGGCTTAAACTCTTGGAGCTCCTTGAAATTCTCCCATGACTTTACCCAAACTTTTGCCGAATATTTCTTCTTCCGACCACCATCGGTTACCTCAAGGATAAGATGGTACATTATACCGGCTACAACCTGTTCTTTGGCATTCACTACCCTCACAAACTCGAGAGCTGAGTTCTGTTAAAACACATACAAAATAAAATTGCTGTTTAAGATAATACCATGAAAAAGAAAGATCTTTTCTCTCCAATGCGGCTCGAACCCAATTGGTAACTCCAGAGTTGCAACATTTCTAACACTAGGTAATCAAGTTCTAACTACTTATCTCAATTGAATCATGTGATTATCCCCCCTGATATCAATTAGTTCAACACTTAGATAATTCCGTATATTGTGAAACCCAGAATTGCATACAGACTAAAAAGTTAGCTTATAATACGGGCTCAACAATTTGAAATTTGTTGTATTCAAACAACACACATTTAATACAACCCAGAATTGTATAGAGACTAAAAATTTAGCTCATAATACGAGCTCAACGACTAGTAATTCATTGTATCCAACCAAGGGACACTTATAAAAACGAGAATATACAGTTCCCATCACCATCTATCCTCTCCGGCACAATCAAATCAAATACAGAACGAGAATAAAAAAAAAACAAATGAAATAAATAACAGATAAAAGTAAATGTACCTGCTTTTCATTGTGCCTCTCAACCGCAAACCTCGCAATACGATGAATCTCGGCATTGTTCTGAGAAACACCGCGCAGGCCACCGAGTTTCATCGTCTCCGTCAGCGCCTCCGCTGGCTCGCTGCAGAACCCGATCGCACAGATCACGGCGATCACAGCCGAAACTGAAACGAAGGC